CACCTAGACAGCTCCAACAACAAAGTCACTGGCGTCGCACATCAGCTCGAACGGTAAGGTCCAGGTAGGAGTTACCATGATAGGAGCATTAGTGAGCTTCTCCTTCATGGTCGTGAATGTCGCTGTGCACGCACAAGTGAACTGGAGGGGGGCATCCTTCTCAAGGAGCTTCGTTATGAACCGCCTATAGAACCCTGCATGGCCCAAAAAACTCCGGATCCCCTTAATAGATATGGGAGGAGGCAGCTTGCTGATTGTCTCGATCTTGGCTCTATCCACCTCTATTCCCATCTTGGAGATCTTATGACGCAGAACTATGCCTTCGCGAACCATGAAGTGGCACTTCTACCAACTCAGTGCCAGGTTCGTCTCCTAACACCTTTTCAGGACGAGTTGCAGATTAAGGAGACATTGAGAGAATGAGTCTCCATAAACCGAGAAATTGTCCATGAACACCTCCATGATTTCTCTGACTAGACGGTCGAAGATGGCGAGTATACAACGGTGAAATGTGGCTGGGGCATTGCAAAACCCGAATGGGATTCTCCGGTAAGCTAATGTGCCGAAAGGGCAGGTGAAGGTGGTCTTCGCATGGTCTTCCTATGCTACGTGAATCTGAAAATACCCGGACATCCCATCCAGGAAGCAGTAGAAATCGTGCCCCGCCAGCCTCTCCAGCATCTGGTCAATGAATGGCAGCGAGAAGTGATCCTTCTAGGTGGCGTCGTTGAGGCAACAATAGTCGATGTAGACCCGGTACCCGGTTATCGTGCTCATTGGGATGAGCTCATTCTTCTCATTGGGTACCACGGTCATCCCACCCTTTTTAGGCACCACCTGAGTGGGACTAATCCACTCGCTGTCAGAAATGACGAAGATGATTCCCGCGTCCATCAGCTTAACAATTTATGCTCGAACCACAGCCTCCAGGTTCGGTGTCAATCTCCGCTGGGGCTGTCTCATCGGTCGAATCTCATCCTATAGCAATATCCGGTGGGAACAGAAGGAAGGGTTGATCCCCCGGATATCGGTGATCTTCCATGCCAGAGCTCGCTCGTACTGCTTCAACAGGGCCACCAGTCTGGCCTTCTGCTCGGGTGTGAGAGTCGAGCTGATGATGACTGGAAGCTTGTTTCCCTCCCGGAGAAATGCATACTCCATGTGAGGAGGGAGGGGCTTCAGCTCCAGTTCTGGTGGCTCCTCCAGAGAGGTGGTGATGCGAGTCAAGGATGAGATCGGTTTGAATAGTTTATCAACCTCCGGGAACTCGCCACTCTCTAGTGTGGCCAGCTGCTCCTCCAGCTGCAACTCCTGCGATGCCTGATCACCTAGCAAAGTACAACGCTCAAGGGCATCGTTAGTACCCGCACTCGCGATGGCGAGTGCGGTCTCAAAATCAACAAACATGTCACAGTAATCCAAGTCATCATGCAAATGGGAATGCTTCACATTGTCAGACACAGAAAATGTAGCTTGTTCATCCTCAGCCTGCAAGATTAACTTGCCACTATGCACATCAATCAGAGCCTTGGCGGTGGCGAGAAATGGTCTACCCAAAATCAAAGGCACATCCACATCCTCTTTTATATCCATAATAACAAAATCAATAGGATATGTGAATGCACCCACGTGAACAAGAAAGTCCTCTATGATACCCCTAGGATGCACAATCGAGCGATCAGCTAACTGAATACTCATCCTAGTGGTTCTAGGTTCACCTAGGCCTAGCTTTTTCGACAGTTTATAAGGCATGACATTAATGCTATTGCCTAGGTCCTCAAAGGACTTTCCTACATGCATGCTGCCATTAATAAGAGGGATGGTAAAACTCCCTGAGTCTTTGCACTTTTCGGGCAGATTGTTCTGCACGATGGCAGAACACTCCTCACTCAACATCATTTTCGAGAGATCCCCAAGTTTCTTTTTGTTGGTGAGGAGATCCTTCATGAATTTTGCGTACTTGGGCATCTTCGACAGTGCCTCCACGAACGGCATATTGATGTTGACCTGCTTCAACATTGCATAAATTTGGCAAACTCAGTCTCCAGCTTGTCTTTGTGCATAAGAGTGGGGAAGGAAAACTGGGGAACATGCTCTTTAACCACTAGTTGTGGCTTGGGAGCATGTGCTTCTTTCTCGATCCCCACGTCTTCATTGTCAGCTGGAAGTGCTGAAGCAGGTGTTGGTTCCTCCAGCCCGGTCAGAGCAGGTACAACAGATGTCATCTTGCCACTTCTAGTAGTGATGGCATCCAACTGCTGGTGAGGCTCGCTAGGAGTAAGGATGGTGGTGGCAAGCAGAGTTTCCGGTGCCCTGGTACTGTTTTGGCGAGCTATTCCTCCAATCTGATTCTGGAGATATTGTAGTATGGCACCCTAGTTCATCTGGCCTGCCACCAGTGAGGTGATGCACTGGTCCAACCTGGAAAAATTTGTTGTGTTGGAGCTCACGAAGGCCTGAACCATGTTTTCCAACTTTGACATCTGGGATCCTGTGCTGGAGCTGCTGCCGGCTGGAAAAACTGTCGCTGCTGCTGCTACTGGAATGGTTGCCCCTGTCTACCCAACAAGGGTCATAATACCGGATCAGGTATTTAAGCGCCATGGTCGGGTCCCCTTCTGCTCTCCTGTCCTCCAAAACAGCTTTACCCGGTCGGGTATTTCAGTGCCTGACCGGGTATTTTTGCCTTCCAGCTCCTCTAGCTTCAACTCGCCACTTTTTTACCCGAAACTCGCTTCCACGCCTCCATGTCCATGCCAAGTCCTGAAATATGACATAAACGAACAACCTAGCGTGCAATCGGCTTAAAACAAGAGAATGGACTCTCAAACGGTTCAAGAATGTTGGTCAAAACATGTGACGGTTACCAATTTGCCAGTGCAGCTCTTGCTGGAGCAAGTGGCGACCATACAAGATACTCTGCCAGCCCCATGAAGGACGTGAATGCATCGCAGCCATGAGGAAGGACCCTTTTGGAAAGTACTTGCCTTCATAGACTTGGGCCAGTAGGGATTGAGGTTCATTAAGACCTTATTAAAATTGAATGCGTCGCCACTCAATTTTGGCCAAAATGACCTGATTAAAATGCTCTAAGCGTAAAAAATCCATCCCCATCATGCTTGCTCTGGCACATATTTCACCAAGACATCCAACGATGCGGGACTGGCTCCCCTCAACCCCCACCAAAATCTCGCCGCATTGAATTCATGTTGGGTTTCTGCACTGCCACTAGTTTTCCAACCAGCCCCAGCAAGTTGACTGTTTTAACCAACACGAAATCATTATCATCTTCCTCCACCACCAAAGCATCATCATCGTCCTCAATATTTATGTCCATGATTTGTTTTTCTGGCCCCTTAGCATGTATAGAATCTTTCTCTTCATCAGGGTTCACTATCGTGTCAATATATCATTGTTATTGCTTTCTCGTTCTCTATTGTTGTTTCAAGCTCTTCACGATCTTCGCCGCTCATCTTTGTACAAGTACTGTAAGATAACGAAAGACAAATATGAAAAAACTAATGACTCACTCACTCTAATCGTGTGAGGAAGATTGGGGTTTCAATACCTTTTGCAAGACCCCAGAAACAGGTACCTTAATCCTTGTACCAGTACTGTAAGATAACGAAAGGCAAATATGAAAAAACTAATGACTCACTCACTCTAATCGTGTGAGGAAGATTGGGGTTTCAATACCTTTTGCGAGACCCCAGAAACAGGTGCCTTAATCCTTGTACCAGTACTGTAAGATAACGAAAGACAAATATGAAAAAACTTATTACTCACTCACTCTAATCGTGTGAGGAAGATTGGGGTTTCAATACCTTTTGCGAGACCCCAGAAACAGGTACCTTAATCCTGAAAAACTCTCTCTCTCTCTCTCTCTCTCTCTCTCTCTCTCAATCCCTTGATGTAGGAGTCCGAAAAAGGATTTCACACAGCTAGGATAACGTCTATAACTTTGAACAATACCAAAGGATTATAGATTCACTTGGCTGATGAAACCAAACCCGAGCTATTGAAGAAATTCCATAGTTTGAATTGGAAAGTCATCAATATCAATTTAGAGCAATTAACCCACAGGGTTTGATTCCCTTTAGATGCAAATTGTTTTTCTCTGTTAGACCTTTCTGGTTTCAATGGCCTATTGTGATTCCTTACCATTCCAGTTTTCATTAACAAGAAAATTACACAGTTTGATTTGGAAAGTTATCAATATCAATTTAGAGCAAATTAACTCCATCAATTTTATATATAGCTTTAGATAAAGAAGAATTTTCATAGTTTTATTCCACTTATAATTTTCATTTGACTGGGAAGATTGACATATATTCATTTTCTTACTTATGAAAAAATGCTACACAATAGTGTAAACTGTAATTAGTATTACTTATATTTTTTCTATTCATATTGAACCTAATGAAATTTTTAGTTTAATTCTATTTGTAGTGACTTTCGTCTTGCAAAGAATGTTGTGTTTGATTATAAATTATCTTTTTTCCAAAATAAACATTATTTTAAATTATCTCAAAGAAAGTTTATGCTATTATCATAATATAAAAGGATACTTGATTGAATATTTAATTTATTATTAATTTTTATCCTTTTTGTGATTATATGTTAAGAAAAACTCCAACCCCCGATCATCAAATCCTGACTTCGCCCCTTCTCTCCTCCACCAATTTTTAATAATGACCAACATATCCCTCCTTTATAAATATTCATTAATTGTGGTCAACACTTTGAAATAAAAATAATAAATCATGAAAATGAAACGTTTCTATTGACTAGTGTTAACACTATACTAACAAATTGCGTGTTAGCACCCTTGCCAATCCGGATGTGGGTGACATCCCGGGGTTTCACGCTAAGGTTTTCACGTAGTGGTTGCTTGAGAATGAGAAACAGCCTTCCGTTTACTATACATACAGAAGATTGCACTTCACTGGGAAAAGAATATACAGCTCGCAAATGGCGATTTAAGTGTACGTGATCACTCATCAATCAAACGTCGCCCAATTAGAAGGAATAGTAGTAGTAGTTGTTGTGATCCGACTGCAGTTCTGTTTGTCCTTGTCTTGATCATGACGAAGTATGTTGAGTATACTACTTGCATTATTGTTACTCATGTTTACCGTTGTGTCACGCTGCACTTTCGGGATCACGTCACTCTTCATATCCATCGACGCCTACAGAAATAGATTGCACCCATTGATATATGTTGATGATGATGAAATCATGTATGTCTTAATTAACAACAAAGGATATATACGTGTTTAGTGACGGAAGATAGATTAATTACCGCACGAGGTTTTACTGCAGGGGCGTGGTCAGTCTCAACCGTGTACTTGGTGAAAGTGACTGCGTCAAGAGAATGTCTCCTTGGTAGCTTTGGCACAGAGTTTTTACTTGGAGTAGTTTCTCCCCTCTTCTCGGCCGGTTTCAGGGTCAAGTCATCTGCTAAGGTTCGACCCAAGGCTTGAGTAGTTGGTTGGGGCAGTTTCTTTGAAGCCCACTTCCTCTGCACGTACCTTCCAAATTCCCCCATCATCATCAGATTTGGTAAAAACAATGTTGCATAAAATACACTCTTGTATACGTACTTGTCATGGATAAATTTCTCAATCCCACTTTTGTCATAGTACCGTGGTAATTCTGCTTCCCAATACTTGTTGGCTCTCTCATTTCCTACATCTGGTTAGAAAATAATAATAAAATAATAATAAAGAAAAGGGGTGAAAATTTTCTACTTTGACATGACCATTGACATGCATGATGTCAGAGATTTGAAATCGTAAGTTTTGATCAACTCGTTAGGATATTGGTCGCTCAAGTAAGCATGGATGTCAACAAAAATGTTACTAGCTACTTGGCACTACTTTCCACAAATCAAATTGAAGTTGTACTATGGCTGAGTATATTTCAACAAACCCAATTCAAATCGTCTTCTCTACTAAACAGTTAATGTAACGATCGAGATAAATATTATATTAGAAACGAGAGTAAAAATTGAGAAGATGCCATTATAACAGCATTTTTTTTTTTACGAGACAACTCATGATCATGTTTCAATGTAGTACTAACAACATGATTCTGAAGTCAAACAAGAAGAGGGAATGAAATAGGTTGCTAGCTAGAGAAGTTCTCACATTGCATAAGAGCAACATGCTCCGGCAACCATGTGTCCAACGTTATTGATCTCACCTGTTCTTGCAGCAGGTAACCATTATACATATTCAGAAACTTAATTAGTTATGTTATTCATGTTCTATTTTCTCAACAGGCAGTGCCGATATATACGTATAAAACCGTAGAGGAGCTAGCAAATCAAATCAATTACCTGTGAAATATGAACCCCAAGACTCCGATGAATTCCTGAGCATTGCATGCATATAAATATTCCCAGGTTCACACTTGCCCATCTTGGTGCTCTGAAATTATATATTATATATGTAACGGGTTTATTTAGTCATCATCATTATTATCAGGAAGATGGATTCATAAAGAAAAATTGTATATTAGACCATATAATTGTGAAAAGAAAATTAAAAAACATCACAAATGTTATACATATGGTGGATTTTGAAGAATAATTACTTGTTATGACAATCAGCACATTGTTTATTATGTGGTAGTTTGACAAGGCCTTCTAATACCTGCATAATAAGCAAGACAGTGGATAATTCCTGTACAGTTATGTGAAAAGATTGCCATTATTGCAACTAATTACCCTTTAACTTCAAATTGATTAATTTGGAATCAAGCAATTAATATCACAATGATACAGGATGAAACACTTTCTAGGAAACCATGAAACTTTATGCTTTGGATTGGCATTTCAATTTCATAAGTGAAAAACAAAAAGTTCATGGTAATTAATTAACAACATGTTGGTCCAAGCAAAGTAATCCTTAATACCCTAAGAAAATCGGTACCTTGATATGTTTCTCGTTAAGGTCTTTGGAGACCGATGCCTTTCCATTCATGTTTTCCTTTCTCCCTTCTTCAAGTCCTTGGGGTGCCTTCTTCTCTTCTGGTTTTAGGTATTGATGTGTCAAAAAGTTATTTTTGCACAAATGTGTAAGTTTGGGTGGAAAATCAATTGTTTAAACCACAAAGGAGACATTTAAAGGAGTGTAGAAGATGTAATTTTCTCTCCAAAGGAAATGAGAGAGAATTTCGTCCAGGCCTAAAGGAGAAAAAAAGAAAGAAGATGTGGGTTAATTTTCTGTTTATAAATAAAAAAGTAAATAATAATAACATTAATTTCAAGGTGTCCCTTACATGTCGGAGGGGCGAGGCAAATTATTTGTCCCGAATTTATGGTTTAACCAGCGTTTGAGTTCTCTTTCTATTGGATCGAGAGGAGCAGCAGCCCAAGGCATCTGCGGCCCAACCCAAGTCAAATTATGCATCTCCTTGTACGACAAGTATATCTTTCTCTACTTGTGTAAACCTAGGGAAAGTAGGACAGCAGATATATATATATCTCCTGTAGGCCATTCGGCCATTGTAACAGACTGCAGTCAATAATAATATCAAAGCCGGAGAGGCTGATCTCTCCCGTGGATTAGTCCTGACAAATCGTCAGGGATACCACGTAAAAATCTTCGTGTCGCATTTAGTTTGTTCTCGATTTTACATGGTATCAGAGCATAGGTCTGGGAAATTCTGATTTCGTTCCTGATTTTGGTGTTCGCTCATCATGGGTGACGAGGAGACAGCAAAGAAATCGCAGAGCTCCAACTCTAAGGGCGAGTTCTCGATGAACCATGGTTTCGATGTATCCTCGGAATATTTCTTGCATCCGCCAGATATCAATGGTCAACTGCCAGTTTTGGAAGTTCTTACTCCGTCAAATTATGGCGAGTTGGTCATCGATGTAATGGATGCACTCATAGTTAAAAACAAGTTCGGTTTTGTTGACGGTAGTCTTCCGCGTCCTATGGCCGATCATGAGTTGAAGGCGTGGAATCGCTGCGATGCTGTGGTCAAAGGTTGGCTTCACATATCTATGGATAAAGAAGTACGGAGCAGTGTTCGCTATGCGAAAACAGCAAGAGAGGTGTGGATTGATTTGAAGCAACGCTTTGGTCAAGGTAGCCTTACTCGGGGCTATGAACTTCGGCGCATGCTTAGTGGTTTGTGGCAGGAGAAACTCTCGGTTTCTACCTTTTATACTAGGCTGCTCACAATATGGGAAGAAGCACAGTCGATGGCACCTCCAGAAAAGTGCACCTGCGGAAACTGCACGTGTGACATGGAAGGAAGAATTCGATCCAAGGATGAGACTTCTCGTCTACTTGATTTTCTTATGGGACTCGACGAGAGCTTTGGCACAGTTCGAAGCCAGATATTGACCATGCAGCCGTCGCCGAGTTTGAGTGAGGCATATGCCATAGTGTCTACAGACGAGCAACAACGCCTCCTCACACAGAAGCGCCGACCTTCACCTGAAGCAGCTGCCTTCGCAGCCAAAAATTTTAATGGTCGTGGAGATCGATCGGACAAAGGAGATCGATCGGATAAGGGCGATCAGACAGACAGGCCATCTTGGCCGAAGACCAATGATGGCAAGCCTCTATGTCTACATTGTGGAAAATCGGGTCATTTTAAGGCAACCTGCTATGAGATTATCGGCTATCTCAGCCGCAATGGGAGTGACAAACTGACAAGGGTGAATGGAGGCGACGAACGCAAGATGAGCGACCACCTAAGGCAGCAGCAGCTGAAACAGAAGTCAGCCCGGTTTCTGGTTTCACTATGACGCAGCTCGAGCAGCTGCGAAAGTTCTTTGGATCATCTAAACCTATGGATGATCCCGCAGCTCACATGGCAGGTACGTTTCTTGGTAGTTGTGAATGGTTAATTGATTTTGGTTGCAATGAGCATATCGCTCAAGATGAATCAATGTTTAGTAAGAGAATTTCCACAGAACAGAGTCAACCTGTGAAAATTGCAAATGGGGATTGCATTCCGGTAAGGAGTATTGGTTCCATGAATTTGAATTCTGAGATCAAGCTAGAGCGAGTGCTTCATGTTCCTGACTTCAAGTGCAATTTGTTATCCGTCAGCAGGCTAACAAAGGATAACAATGTTGTGATTATTTTTCTCCGTGATATGTGCATTCTTCAGGACTTACAATCCAAGAACGTGATTAGGAGGGGGATTCTCCGTGATGGGCTTTATTTCTTGAAGATGTTCGATGACCAGGAATGGTTAGCTCTTACTGCAGATAGACGACATAAACTTCCAGAGGAGGTTTGGCATTCGCGTTTGGGTCATTTGTCGCCCGGAAAGCTTTCCCAGCTTGATTCAGTCATTTCTTATTCGTCAGTCAAGAACAGAGTACCATGTCATTCTTGTTTTCGTGCTAAGCAGAGTCGGAACCCTTTTCCGCTTAGCTCTATTAAAACATCGTGTTGTTTGAGTTAATTCATGTAGACATATGGGGTGGCTATCAAATGGCTTCCACCAGTGGAGCTCATTATTTCTTGACCATAGTTGACGATTTCATTCGTGGCGTTTGGGTGTATCTTCTGAAATTCAAATCTGAGGTTGCTCGCTACATGACTATGTTTTGTGAAATGGTTCGAACACAGTTTAATCTGCAGGTTCGTCGTATACAGGCGGATAATGGATTGGAATTCATCACTGCGCCACTCCGGGATTATTATGAGAAGTCTGGTATTGTGTTGCAGACTAGTTGCACTGATACTCCCCAACAGAATGGAGTCGTTGAGCGTAAACATCATCACATCCTGGAGACAGCTCGTGCATTACGTTTTCATGCAGGTCTTCCGGTTCGTTTTTGGGGCGAATGTGTTTTTACTGCAGTTTATTTGATAAATAGAACTCCTACATCAGCCACAGGGTAAACCCCGTATGAGATTTTGTTTGGCAAACCAGCGGCCTACTCACATCTTCGAGTGTTTGCCTGTCTTGTATATGCCAAGGATACGCATGGAGGTCTTCATAAATTTGCTGAACGGGGGCGAGCTGGTGTGTTTCTAGGTTACGCGGCTACGCAAAAGGGCTATCAATTCTATGACTTAAAGACTCGTAAAATTCTTGTGTCTCGAGATGTTTTTTTTCATGAGGATTATTTCCTGTTTCATGCACAGGATCCACGAGAATTTCATTGGTTGCCCTCCTATGTGGTCATGGAACTAGGGGCTGATCATGATAGCCCATCGAGTAGCTCGCATACTCCTCTTGACCAGCAGCCTTCGCAGGACTTGGAAGTGACTCCAGCAACTACCCATTCCTCAACAGATGGTGGCGTTCCGCCTGGAGGCAGCTCCCAGTCCATGTCACCTTCTCCTTCGGTCACTCCAGCGCCTCCTGCCGCACCTGAGTTGCGTTGCAGTCTAAGGAAGCTCCATCCTCCTAAGCACCTTGATGCTTATGAAACTGATCTCACATCTGCGTCACATGTTCGCTATCCTATCTCACATCATGTGTCCTATGAGCGAGTTACTCCAGCTTATCAAGCTTTCCTTGCATCTGTTGATCGGATTCCAGAACCGCGCACTTTCAAGGAAGCTATTCGTCATGCGCATTGGAGAGAGGCCATGGCTAAAGAAATTGATGTGCTTATGGCTAATGGCACGTGGCGTTTGGAACATCTTCCTGCCGGTAAGTGATGTATCGATTCAAAGTGGGTTTTTAAGGTGAAGTACTATCCTGATGGGACTGTCGAACGGTACAAGGCTTGACTAGTTGCTAAAGGATATACGCAAATTGAAGGAGTGGATTTTCATGATACATTTGCACCTGTAGCCAAACTGGCCACGGTTCGTTGTCTTTTGGCTTTTGCGATCAGTCAGGGATGGTTCTTACATCAGCTCGATGTCAACAATGCGTTTCTTCATGGGGATTTATCTGAGGAAGTTTACATGAAGGTACCTCCCGGTTTTGGCGTTGAAGGTGATTCCCGGGTTTGCTGACTCGCTAAAACACAACACCTAACAATGGCCAAGTGTAACCAATGAAAGGGACTGCAGTATAGTGGCTCAAGTAATAAATATCGAATCCACGGGTCTCTAGAGTTACTATTACTCAGCTTCAGTTCGTTATCTAGCAAAACAGATTAAGTTGAAAGAACTAAAACTACTCTAGCAAACTACAGTTAAAGTTAATCTAATTACAGGTTGGGAACTCACTTAGGTATGATTCCCCCTAGCCACTAGCCAGATTAATGATTGATGATTTCTAACTTGTTTCACTTTCATTCACAATGCGGAGAATCCTTGACTAGACCTTGAGTCTCGACTAAAGGAACAAGGCCCTCTTGAGTCAATTGCCTAGAGGGACGTATCCTTCTCTAGAACAACCGATCAAGGCGTTCTGAACTAGATTCCCTCTATCAAATGAGGTTCTCAATCGATACAAAGCAGTGAATCAACCCTCGACTAAAGCAATTGATCCACTACTATCAATCTATGGTGCTCTATTGACCTAATCAGGTGTTCGCTCTCATAGGATCAAAGAAGAATCAATAATCTCGACTAAAGCAGAATTGAATCATGAAAACATGCATAGATTGAATATGAACTCAAGATTATCAAGTAGGAGTACTCATACAATCATCCAATCAAACAAACATGGCTAGGGTTCCTCAAAACCTAAGTGAAGGGAAGTTACTCCATAGAGAAGAGAGAGACTGCAGAAATCTTATCTAGATCTTCAATCTCCATCTCCAAGCTTGATTCCTGAGCTCCAATGGCGAAGAAATCCTCCAAAATAGCTCCAAGAATGTTCCCAAGTCGCTCTCTCTCTCTAGGGTTCGTCCCTTGGGTGTTTGGGATCCAAAACCCAGCTCTCCTCCCTTTTGGCTCGGATTAGGCTTAAAAACAGGCTTCCCCGAGTTGCACGGCCAGGTGCACGGCCGTGCACCCTCAAAACGCACCGTTTCACTTAATCGATCTCAGCCATCTTGCACGGCCAGGTGCACGGCCGTGCAAGGCTGGATTTTGCCCGTGCAAGGCCTCGGCAGGGAGCGCACGGCCAGAATTATATGTTGCACGGCCGTGCGCCTCCCTGGTCTGCCCGTGCAGCTTGCTCAGCCTCTGTTTAATGCTTCGTTTCTCCCTCGTTCGGACTCCGAATCAGTCGCCGTTTGATCCCAGACGCTCGTAGTCTCGTCCTCTTT